CCCCCCCCCAAACCAGGTATGGTGTCTGTCTTGGACGAAGGTGTCGGCAACCTCACTCAGGCGCTCAAGGACAAAGGTCTCTGGGACAACACCGTTTTTATTTTCTCTACTGGTGAGTGTGTTAGAAGATCCAGAAGGAACTTTGAGGCCTCGCAACTGCATAAGGTCATATGAGCACCAGAAGATTAGAGGTGTTACAAGAGAGTAACAAACATAAAAAAGAAGAAGGGGAGATAAGGACGATAGGTGTTTGATAGGAAAGAAGAAGCAAACCACACCAGAGCACCCGCCAACCACCCACAACTTTATAGGGGGAGTTTGCACATAATTTTGAAAGTGTGGAATAATAAAAGACATCTATAGTAGACTTGAACAAAATGGCATCAATTAATTTAGAAATATATAAATCTGACCCAAATGTCGATTTTTGGCTGATATTTTCATTGTTGGATTGCGTGAAGTAACTCACTTTGTTTGCACGCTTCACAATCCAGTAAGCCTATGAGGTTTGGGGTTTTTTAAGTAGAGGGTTTACGGCGCTTGCAACTGCATAAGGTCATATGAGCGCCAAGGGGTGGATGCCATTGGCAACAGAGAAGTCTTTACAGGGAATCAGGCTTACTCTGCTCACCTCTCTAGCTTCAACAGCACAAAGTCTGCCTCGACTATCAAGGCACCCCTGAAATAGTGGGTCACAAGAGAGTGACAAACATACAACAGAAGTAGAGGAAATGACCATAGTAAGTATTAGGAAAGGAAAAGCAGCAGTTCCCTGTTGTAGATCAGGCACAGTTATGAGCGTGACATTGATGAATCAGCCCATTTACAATTCTACTAACTGTGTATGAACGTGAAATGTCCCACCTTTGTGAATGGCCTAGAGACACTTCAGTCAGCGGGACCACCCCGGGGGGGTCCAGCCTAAGTGGTCACAATGCTTATTAAAGCCCGATACTCAGCTCGTGGAGCAAACATATGTGAGGCAGCGTGGTGGAATCAGGCTCTCGTCAAAATAATCAAAGTGAAGAAACTTGCATTTTTCCACAGGTTTTGTGAATTTGTATCAATTTTTTTTTTAAATAATTTTTTTTTTGCTCAACAGCTTTCATGTCCTTTAAAGAACTCATTTCGGTGTGGATTTTCCTGAAAAACGTTGATTAAAGGCGCAAAGAATGTAAATTTTTAGTTAACACGAACTCTTAAGCTAAGGAAATAACTAATCTTTGACGGCCATTTTCTCACTAATTTTACCGCTGAAAACAGGTGACCCCCACCTCCTTCTTTCGCAAATATCTCGACTTGTATTCAAGGTAAATGGATATATTTTTCATCCACATAAAGACAAATGAACAAGCTTTAAGGAGATACCAATAATTCTACATGCTCAAATATCGATGAGAGCCTGATTCCACCACGCTGCCTCACATTTTGTTTTGAGTGAATGATCAAAGAACTTTAATAAATGTGTTGGATCTAGTCTTGCTATTTTTTTCTGTGTAGCAGTAAATTGAACTTTTTTTCGGGGGCGGGG